GCGGTTGGGAAGCAGATAGGCCTTTTGTCAGCTTTGAGATCCAGGAATGTCTTTCTCAAGGACCTGGGAACCCTCTCTTTGAAGTGTTAACACCAAGGAAGACAGCTCCCCTCTCTCCCCCTTCCTGTGCCAGGTAGGAGCCTAACCTCAGTGGGCACCAGGATCCACCCACGTGTAAAACCACCTCCTGTCATAAAGACGGGAGAATTTGTAAAAATAAACTGCTTTAACTTTGGTTTGCCTGGGAAACTCTTCATCTCTCCTTCTATTCTGAATGATCCCCTTGCTGGATAGAGTATTCTTGGCTCCAAATTTTTGTCCTTTCAGCACTTTGAATATATCACACTACTCCATTCTAGCCTGCAGAGTTTCTGTTGAAAATTCCACTAATATGTGGAATGTTGAATCACTATTGAAATGAATATAACTCTATATGTTAACTACCCTGGAAATATTTTTTTTTAATTTTTAAGGTAGGAAAATTTGGTTTTCCTCGGAATAAAGCCAATTAGCTAACATAGATGGTCACCCCAATTTCCAAGTAAATATAGGGTGCACCGTCTAGGACAAAAAGTGCTGGCAAGTCCACCTACTTGACGGCTCATAACTGCTGATCCTGAGAACATGTATGGAATGAGTTGTGTCTGCATGGCTATGGAAAAGATGAGATTTCTTCTGTCTTTGCATTTCTTGATAGAATCTCTGCGATGCGGTGCATGTAAGCCCCTCAGGATTCACGTCCAATGTGGGGCTCGACCTTAGGACCCTGAGATCAAGAGTCCGTGGTTCCACCGACTGAGCCACCCAGGTGCCTCGAGCACTGCTTTAAGTTTCACCTAAATTCCATCCTTCTCCAAATTCTCGTCTAGTCTTGTTCTTTCTCTGCCAGCTAGTAAGCCAACTTTGTCGTGGACAGGATGGCCCGCACTATGGAACCAGTGGCAAAGAAGATCTTTAAAGGAGTTTTAGTAGTTGAACTCTTGGGCATTTTTGGAGCCTATTTTTTGTTTAATAAGATGAACACAAGCCAAGATTTCAGGCAAACAATGAGCAAGAAATTTCCCTTCATCTTGGAAGTTTATTACAAATCCATTGAGCAGTCTGGAATGTACGGAGTCAGACAGCAAGATCAAGAAAAATGGTTGAATGGCAAAAATTAGGACCAGTCATCGCGTTCAGCCTCCCATCTAAGCTGTTTGAGACCTTTGTGGGGGAGAAGAAAGATGAGCACACCACATTGCAGACTCCTGGCCCCACAGAACAAAACAGGAACTTCTGGTCTGCCATGGCTCACGGTCATTTCCCATCCCCTATGCAAATCCCCTTTTGTTTGTTGCTTTCCTTTGGCATTTATTATTAAAGACTACCGTTTAACAAATAAAAGACTAGGAGAAGAAAGGAAAAAAAAAAGAATCTCTGCGATGCACATCACATTCTAGTTAATGCAAATTTAATAATAAAAAGGATTTCTTTTCCTACTATCTTTGAGAAGAGGATTTCTGGGTTGGAAGATTATGTTTTTAATTATATTTCCCCTACATGACCGAAAGTGTATGAGTAAGCCCTGTTAAGATTCGCCGAATACACCCCAGATGAGCTGAACTCCCTTTATGCCCAAATTAAATACACATTTGTTGCTAATAGGCCACTGAGATTTCTATGTCTGTGTTACACAACATTATGACAGCAATCGGCAACTTACACATAATATCAATATATCTACTGCTAAACAACCAATTGCCAAAAAAGAAAAACTGTGAGTTTCTGCAGTCCCTTCTCTCCATTCCTCCAAACTCTCCTTGTCCCCAAATCTCCTCACGCAGCTGGGTCTACTTTCCAAAACTGTCTGATGCTGGAGAGCTCCTTTCCCACCCCACTGCCACTGCACGAATTCAGGTGGCCATCCTCTCTACCCCATAACTACATCCAGGCCTCCAGTCTTGCTCACCTTCCATACACCCTCCATAAAGCTGCCAAAGGAAACCTGCCCACACATACCTCCCTCCACCGCTCTGTTTAAAATTCCCTCGGCTCTGCATCCAAACTGCACAACACAGCACATGAAGCCTTTAATGGTCTGATATTACCACCACCCCCCAAACAAAACTCCTGTCCACTTCCTCCCCAATCCCACCATCTGCACCCATCAGGAAGGACATGCTCCAGCTCCAGGACCATTTGGTTAACTGCTCATACCACAATCACCATGCTCTCTATGCCCCACATAGATCCATCAACCAGAACGCTATTTCAGAACACTGGTTCGCTGAAATGCCCGCTAAAGTGTGTGCTCCTCATGGACTTTTCCTGATCAATCTCTTCTCTGTGCACCTGGACCAGGAACACCTCTTTATTCCGATACTCACCTCTCACCACCCTCCGATTCACCTCCATCACCAACCATGTGGCCTCCCTCTCTGCCCAGACTCACCTGCCACACTCCCACTCCTACCTCAGGGGTCTCACATGGATGTCCCTCTGCTTGAAACTCTCACCGCCAAAATATTTATTTAGCTAAATCACTACTTACCACCATCTAACATCGTCTATAACCTATCTATTTGTTTATTTATTGTCTCTAGAATATAAACTCTGCAGGGCAGGGATTTTTATTTTTACACTGATGTATCCAGGTGCAGAGAACAGTAGCTCGCACATACTAGGGGTTCCATATATCTGTACTGAATAAATGAATGAGTGAAAGACCCTCCTTTCCTTCATCTATAAATTGAGGGCATATTTACTTAGACCCTGAGGTTGCTCCCAATTCCAATACTGCAAGTGTCTAAATATAGATCAGCAACCCACCTGCCACCTTCAGTTCCAAATTAGCCTCTTCATAGAAGTTTCCCTTTCTGAAAAAACAGGTATACAGCCCATTGTCGAAAGCCTGGACATTGTGGATGCACACAGCAGCCTCCCCTTGGGTGAGGAGGTCCTTCACCAGTGAGGTCCGCCCTGTGTACTGGGCCAGCTGCTCCTCTCTCTGCTCCTGCTGGTTTTGATAGATGAACACTGCTTCTGAGAACTTGGAGCGGAACCACCGCAGTTCCATGTTCTCCACACTCATGGCTGGGAACACACGACATGGCAATGTGATGTTCTCACCCAGCACTGCCACAATGGGGTCCGAGGAGCCAATCACCACGAACTCCTCTGTGGACACAGACATAGAAGTGAGAAAGCTGGAGAGGTGCAGGACAGAGCAGGGAACACACTGTCAGGTGGGAGACCCTGACCTGAGGGGCTCAGCTCTGACCACTCTGAATCAGGGCAAGATCCTCAACCACAACTTTGAGACCCAGAAATGATGTCAAAGAGACTCCCTCAGCAGCCTGTGCTCCTGGCTCCAGGTCTTCCATGGAGGACTCTCTAATTCAGTGGTTCTAACCTTCCATGGGCATCACAATCACCAGGAAGGCTTGAGAAACACAGACTGCTGGGCTCCACCCCCAGAGCTCCTGGTTCAGTAGGTCTGGGGTGGGTCCAAGAATGTGCATTTCTGAGGAGGTAGCAGGGATGCTGATACTGATGTTCAGGGACCACACTCTGAGATCCACAGCTCTAACCTGCCTCCTCTTAGGACAGGCCTGAAAACTGACCAAACAGCACACCTGTGGCCTAGGTGGGACCTCTCTGCTCATTGGTCCACACCCAGGAACTTCCCAACACCTGCTCCTAATTTTATTATTTCTGCCCATGTCTTTGTCCTCTGCTGAATTACATGCACACTAAAAACTAGAGCCCACAGCTACTTCCATTAAAATCTGTCCTCACTCCACTGCTCACAGGACCCAAATCACTACTTGTTACAATGGAAGGTTTATTCCACTGCCCCCAACCCCTCACAGACCTTGGTCTTCTGAGACCTGGTAGACATGTCACAGCAGGACACTTCTGCAGGACAAACCCCACCAGACATCCAAACACCGACTTCTCACCTCCTGTGCTACTCAACTTTGGCTAAGTCACTGTCTAACCTGCGGAATGACAGTGACTAGGCTCCCTGTGACTATGCTCTCTCCAATCAATGTCTGTGACCCTTTATACCTGTAAGCAAAACCATGTGCCTCCTCTATCAAAGCCCTTCAATGCTTCTCCAGTTGCCCAAGTGACCCCAAGCCCCTTAGGGATGACCTTCCATGCTCTCTGATCCCCAACTGCGGCTTCTCTCCCTCTCGCTCACTCTGCTCCAGCGAACGCTTGCCTCCTCTGCTCCTTGAACACCCAAGCACACTGCTGGCTTGGCCCTGGCTGTTCACTGCTGTGGAGATGCCCTTTCCATGGGATCCAGACAGGCTCCTTCCACATTCTCCATGTCTTCCTTCCCATCTCCCTGCCCACACTGACCACCTTATGGAGCACTGCTGCCTCCCCACAGCCCTCCTGCAGCCCTGACTGCCCCGCCTGCTCTACTTTCATGTCCCATGCTCTCCGCTCCTCTAACAGACAGAGATTATATGGGGTTGTTGAATTTAGTACTCGCTGTCCCTGCCAGAATGTAAGCTCTGTGAAGATAGAGGCTGTCGGGTTTGTACATAGAGTACCACCTAACACATACTCAATACCCTATAAACATTTGTGGAATATAAAAACCAATAAAGCCAGGAAAGAAAAAATAAGGGGAAACTTATTTTTACTCTTCTCATAGTGAAATTCACATTTTTTACTTTATAAGACATAAAGTCCTCATTAGACAACTGTCATGGTCCCCTGTCCTTATTTTACAGTTCTGGGATTCTTCTTAAATGTTTAATTTCAACTAGCAGTTGGTGGATCAACAGAATCTTTCTAGAACCAGGGTCTCCAGCAATAGCCATCTGTCCTGAAGGAGACACCAGCAGAGCTCCCTGGGGGCTCTCACCCACCCCAGGGAGACACAGGAAGGGGGAGGGGACACACTCACCTGCAGACCCCCCAGTGGGCAGCTGGAAGAGGAGAAGCAGGAAAGGGAGATGGGAGAGCAAAGAGCCCCTGCAGCAATCCTCCATTTCCTCAGAGCTGGGGAGACACAGGGCAGGAGGCAGGTGAACACCTCCAGAGAGGAGGCAGGGCCAGCCCACAGCTCTGGGCCTCAGAGCAGACAGCAGGGCTCAGGGCTGGCAACGGTCCCCAGCAGGAGAGCACAGCCTTTCCTACTGCTCATCATGCTGGTGGGGTGGGGGCCCCCACAACCTTAACACCGAGAAATCCCTCCCAGCCCTTTGGAAACTTTCCCAGCCTGCTCTGCCCACAGGACCAGACCCTCCTGCCTCAGCACACCCAAATCTGCTCTCAGAAATTGCACCTGCAGTTTGCTGCTCGAGCCCCACACCCTGCTTCCAGATCCAACCCTGGTGCTACAGGCTCCTCTTGTGCTCCTGCATGCTGTTCCTCTGCTGCCTCCTAATTATGACCAGCGAATCACTGAGAAGCATGAGGGTCAGACTGTGTCCTCCTCAAGGACACTGTGGCTCCCACCACACGCACCCTGTCGTCCCGTGCTTTGCTGGGTGAGTTCACCTGAATTTCAGGTCCCTCCCTTCCCCAGCTCTTTCCTGCTCAGGACCAAGGACCTGGCCTTGCTCATAGCTGAGGCCCAGACAATTCCCCATGAAAGGTTAATCCTCATCTTCTCTCTCTTTGAAGAGTTTCTGCCTCAGGATAGAGGATCCCAGCAAAGCAGGAACAGCAGAGGTTAAAATGAGCTCTATATGGGGTTGTTGAATTTATTACTCGTGACCAGTCATCGCGTTCAGCCTCCCATCTAAGCTGTTTGAGACCTTTGTGGGGGAGAAGAAAGATGAGCACACCACGTTGCAGACTCCTGGCCCCAC